AAGAGTGGCATGTTTTCTGATTGAACGTTTGAATTTTACTTTGACACTTAAAATACAGTACTTTAAAAAAAAAAAGTTCTTTTTTTTACTTCAATAATTTAAAACATAAAAAAGGGAGAAAAGCAACAGAGATTATACCAGTAGCATTCTGAAAGGTTCTCCAAAGGGCAGGTAATTAGTAACAAATATAAAAATAAAAGGCATAAAAGAAGCATCAACCAAAGTCTTGATATTTACAAACTTGTATGGGTCATGACTGATTGTGTTAAGGATTCAGGACTTCAGGTGAAATCTATACATAAGGTGAAAACTGCTGCTGAATGGGTATGACCTTTAATCCCATAAAATCGTGCTTTGTCTTAAACCCTGTTTACATCTGTGTTCTCTATAGGTTCATCAGTTCAGTAACAAACAAACAGAGATGGCTCTGAGAGTAGCATCTTTAGACTACCTGGGAACAGTAGCTGCTCGTCTGAGGAAGGATTCAGTCACCAGTAGGATGGACCAGCGATCAATTGATCGCATATTAAATGAGGTGCTGATGGTTAAAGGAAAAATCTAAATGATGATGGTGTTGTTTTAGTTATGATTAACATTTGCCTTTCCGATGATATAGTCATCTGGTAACGATGAGACGCAGCAGTTGCAGAAGGCTCTGCTGGACTATTTGGAGGAAAATGCTGAGACAGATGCTTCTTTAGTGGTGGGTTCATTTTACTTACTTGGACTATATTGATAAATGTACAGGAAAAGCAAACTCACCTGCTTAAATTCCATCCATTTTATTGCAGTTAAAGGGTATGTTAGAAATATCATTTCTTGTTGTTTTTTTTAGAAAACTATCATGCCTGGAATAAACTAAGACTGTTATGTATTTTTTTCTAGTTTGCAAGAAAGTTCTACATTGCCCAGTGGTTTCGAGATGCCACTACAGAGGCAGAGAAATCCATGCGAAATCAAAATTCCAAGGATGAAGACTCGTCAGATGGACCCCAACATGCCAAGGAGTTGGAAAGCACTGGTGAAATTATGCAGCGTGCTGAGAAGCGCAAGAAGTTCCTGCACAACATCATTAAGACCACACCGTCTCATTTCACAACACTGAAGTAAGGATTTTATCACTTGATTCTGTTTGTTATAATGGTATGTTTAAGCTCCAGATGAAGAAATGCATAATCTTACTCATGTTGTTTTTCTGAATTTTTCTACCATAGAATGAACTCTGACACTGTGGACTATCAGGACTCCTGTCTGATTGTGCGTTACTTGGCCTCCATGAGGCCGTTCGCCCAGAGCTTTGATATTTATTTAACACAGGTAACGTTTGAAGTGTTTTTGTATACTTAACACAGTGTAATATTGGCTTTAATAACTAAGGACTTTTATTTTGGTAGATCTTGCGAGTCCTTGGTGAAAGTGCCATTGCTGTAAGGACTAAAGCCATGAAATGTCTGTCAGAAGTGGTGGCTGTTGACCCCAGCATACTGGCAAGAGTATGTTTTATTTTGGCTTTGTCAATATACAGACATTCTCACATATGCTCATCTTTTCTAAAAGTGCTGTTTTGAAATTCCTGCACACCTACTTCACAAACCCTAAATTTTTGTCTGTATTTGCAGTCGGACATGCAGCGTGGCGTCCATGGTCGTTTGATGGACAACTCCACCAGTGTTAGAGAGGCAGCCGTCGAGCTATTAGGCAGATTTGTCCTGAGTCGACCCCAACTGACTGAACAGTACTACGACATGCTTATTGAGAGGATTCTGGTATGTTGCCTGTTCAGATTCCATTCAAACAAGTGATTGTGTGTCTTTGATTTTGATGTACTGATACACACGGTTTATGGTTAAGAGCTTGTGTCCCTGAAAAACCTTTAAGCATGTGCTGTTAGTTTAAAAGCTTTGTTGAAGTCTTGTCCTAGCTTTGTGTTGTTTGAGTAAATGCTAATGTATCAGGTGCTATGCCCCATAACAACTGTTTAGCACAAACATAATCATTTTCACTCTAATGCAGCAAGAACAATGAACTATTAGAACTGGAAACACTCTCCTTATAATTAAGGTTAGGTACCTCTTTGTCTTGTCTAAGAGTGGTATGATGCTTCGTTGCTTAAACACTGCTGTGGTTTCTGCCTATTGTAGTGTAACTTGCCGTTGCAGGGTTTATATTTGGATTTATTTCAGTTGTTTTATCTTCATGGATGCGTTTTAATGAACAGTGTCCAGTCATATAATATTCACAAGTACAGTCAGACACTTTTCCTTTCAACCCACAATCGGAAAAGTGAACACGTTGAAATTGTTGTGGCTGTTGTCATGGAAATATTCAAAAGGTTTCGTGAAAAGTTCACATTTGTAGTTGTGTTATACTGCCACTTATTGGCAGTGAAACGCTATTGCAGCACTAGTAGAAACCCAAATATAGAAAGGACGCTTGATATAGCGAACATGCATGTAAGTGTGTCGCTTTAATAAAATAAACTCATTAACGTTTACAATCTTTTTTATATTCAACTATCTATAAAACTCTCATTAATCAACCAATGCTGTATATATTAGCTGTATTACTTGGTCTTTACAGGACACCGGTATCAGTGTACGAAAACGAGTGATCAAGATCCTCAGAGACATCTGTCTGGAGCAACCCACATTCAGTAAGATCACCGAGATGTGTGTAAGGATGATCCGCAGGGTCAATGACGAAGAAGGTATCAAGGTAAGAACTAAGTGCACTTTGTGCCCCCTCAAAAAACTAAATTCAACAATAAAAAAAATATATATATATAAACCCCCAAAACTTGGTATTGATAGAAACTGGTGAATGAGACATTCCAGAAGCTGTGGTTCACTCCAACTCCAGCCCATGACAAAGAGACCATGACCAGAAAGATTCTGAACATCACTGATGTGGTAGGTTTCAGATACAAAACAAATAGGCAAGTGAAATCACTCATCAGCCATTAACCAGGGTTCAAATATTGTTGTAAATCTGGACAGGTGGCAGCGTGTCGAGACACCGGCTACGACTGGTTTGAGCAACTTCTCCAGAATGTAAGAGTTTGACTACAGATATGGGTTTTAGTTTGTCGAAATACCTCAGTGTTCACAATATCAAAATGTTTGTCACTGTAGCTTCTTAAGTCTGAAGAGGATGCATCGTATAAACCAGCCAAGAAGGCCTGTGTTCAACTAGTTGACAATCTGGTAGAACATATCCTAAAATATGAGGAGTCACTTGCTGGTAAGCTTAAACTTAAACTTAAAACTTAAACTTATGCTCTGCTGACATTAACTTAAGTAATACTGTAAATGTCAGAAACATCCCATTTTGTAATTTGCTTTTTCATTGTTTCATTTTTACTTGCAGAGAACAAAGGTGTGAACTCAACACGGCTAGTAGCGTGCATCACCACCTTATACTTGTTCAGCAAAATCAGGGCCCAGCTGATGGTCAAACATGCCATGACCATGCAACCCTACCTGACCACAAAGTGTAATGTAAGTTGCCTTTACTAGATATTTTACTCTTTTAGTACATTTCATTTACTAAGAGTATCAGGAGAAAATTAAAAATAGAAGACTCAACTGAAGTTGAATTGCCTTAGCAAACACAGTTCAGACAAAACAGCACTTGTTCTTAAAAGATTTATCTTTGATATCACATTTATTAGCACCTTTACAGATGGCTTCATACTTTTTCTGTCTTGCAGACTGCCAATGACTTTATGGTCATCTGCAATGTGGCAAAGATCTTGGAACTGGTGGTCCCACTGATGGAGCACCCCAGTGAAACTTTCCTTGCCACCATTGAAGAAGATCTAATGAAGCTGATTATCAAATATGGCATGACTGTATGTAGAAGTTTTTTTGTGTTACAATTCATCCAAGACGATTTAATTTCTGAAAACAATTGTTTTTAATGACACAGTGTTGTTTGCTTGTTGTGTAGGTGGTGCAGCACTGTGTGAGCTGCCTTGGAGCTGTTGTCAACAAAGTGACACACAACTACAAGTTTGTCTGGGCATGCTTTAACAGATTCTATGGTTAGTTAGCTTTTAGCTTGATGTAAATTGCCAGTCGATCTAGAAATGGTCAAAAGATACATTATAAATATTGGTATTTCATTATTTTCTAGGTGCACTTAACAAACTTAAGATTCAGCATCAGGAGGATCCCAGTAGTCCAACCTTAGTAGCAAACAAGCCTTTCCTGCTGTGGTCCCTCTTCACAGTGGGTGCTCTGGCACGATACTTTGATTTCGATCTGAAAGAATTCAAAGGCTCAAACAAGGTAACAAAAAATGGTGATAAATGAAATTAACCAATCATCAAATGTCTACTTTTTTATACAAATAATGAAATATCTATTGTCCTGTCAAAATGTTTGACATTTACAGGTTGTTATCAAGGAGAAAGTTCTGGAGCTGCTGCTGTATTTCACCAAACATGATGATGAGGAGGTCAAGACCAAAGCTATCATTGGCCTAGGTAGAATTTCCAAAAATCAATATAACATTATTGTCAATGAGGGCATGTTTAGCAACAAAGTGAGGTTGTTGTATATGAGATCTGCTGTGTTTTAGAGGAAGGAAAGCAAGGAAAGTGAACTACTTGACACAACACACCATTGCACACAATGAAATGTGACCTCTACTTTTAACCCATCACCAAAGTGAACAGTGGGCAGCTTTAAGCGCCAGAGGAGCAGTGTGTGGGCAGGGTGCCATGCTCAGAGCACCTTAGTGGCAGCTGATGGACTCAAACCTGAAGCTTTCTGGACCCAAGTCCGCTTCCTTAACCACTAAGCCACCACTGCCCCAGAGAGGGAGACTTAGGGAGGGAGCAAGAGAGGGACAGAGACTGGCAGTATAACGGCAGTCCTATCACTCTGTGCGTCCCTGGAGCTTTGCCAAGCTGCTCTGAAGCGCAGAGCTCCGATCAGCTCATGTGGCAAAGAGGCAGAGGCACTGCCCTATGGAAAATATCTACATGCAATAAAAGTAAAGCAGAAGTGGAACTGTTGATGTGTTGAAGAAAGTGGTTCTTATAGTTCTGGTGGTTGTTTTCCTCTTGCCTCAGGCTTCCTTGTGATCATGCATCCCAGCCAGATGTTTATGCCTGAAGTGAAGACTTTGTACAGTGGTATTCTGGTTGACAGCTCCTCATCAATCAACCTCAAAATCCAAATCCTCAAAAACCTCCAGACGTACCTTCAAGAGGAAGACACACGGATGCAGGAAGCGGACAGAGAATGTATGTGTAGCTCTGCCTGTCGCTCCTGTTTACAAAGGCATTTATATTCAACACATTAGAGGTATCTGCTGTCTATTTGACGTATTTGTTTGTCCTTGTAGGGAAGAAACTGTCAAAACAAGAGGATCTTAAGGAGATGGGAGACATTTCATCAGGGATGAGCAGCTCCATAATGCAGCTTTATTTAAAACAGGTTCTGGAAGCGTTCTTTCACACACAGTCCAGTGTACGGCACTTTGCTCTTAACGTCATAGCTCTCACGCTCAACCAGGGTCTCATCCATCCTGTACAGGTAAGACAAAAAAAAAAGTCTTGTCCTCATGTCTTTTTTTTTTTTAAATGAACGTAAGAATGAATTGTTGGGTTTATTCACTGTATACTTACATTGTTGTGTGTCCTGTCTGTGTAGTGTGTTCCCTACCTCATTGCAATGGGAACAGACCCAGAGCCAACTATGAGGAACAAAGCTGACCAGCAGCTAGTGGAGATTGACAAGAAGTACACAGGGTTCATCCATGTGAGTTTATGTAACAGATGAGCACTATTCCATTATTCCTATCCTGCTTCTTTACTGTACATTAATACTCAAGTCTTTCGGGTATACCACCCAGAAAAGCCTTTTTTTAACTTGACTTTGAACACATTCTTTTACAGATGAAGGCAGTCGCTGGGATGAAAATGTCGTACAACTTACAACAAGCCATCGACCTGTCTCACAAGACTATCATCAGAGGTTTCAGACAAGACGAGACCCACTCTGCACTCTGCGCCCACCTCTTCACTATGATACGGGGAAACAGGCAGCATCGCAGAGCTTTCCTCATTTCACTGCTGAACATCTTTGATGACAGTGCTCTGTGAGTGTAAAATCATTTGTGACTCATGTTTGAAGAGCTTGATGTCAGATTTAAAAAGTTCTGTTAGGCAACTGGGCATGAATTTTCTAAAAAAGGACGTTTCACCTCTAATGCAAGAGGCTTCTTCAGTTCTAACTGATGTTGGGGAGTACAGCAGATATGTAGGCCTTGGGGTCAACTGGGAAAGTGTAAACAGTCGTTAAGAGTCTGATGGGTCGTTGTGGTCCCCATCAGAACAGTTTTGGTCACTTGCCTCTTTGTTGTGTGAAACTGAGGTGAAACTTTTGGGTATTGTTCCCAAAAGGGCTTTGTATGTGGATGATAGGTTGTGTCTGAGTCAACCTCCTCTGTTAAGTGATGGTTTTTCCAGGTTGACAAAAATGGCGTCTTTTACCCCTCTCTAAAACCATCTGTCTTCCCTAGCCAAAATGTGAACATTGTTGTCCTCAAAGGAGTGGGTTTTGTCCTTGAGGTGTATGTGAATAGCTGAGTCCTGTCCTGAGGAGTTGGCCCTCCTGTGTTGGGCCATGCGCCTGTGTAGCGGTTGTTTAATCTCACCAATGTACAGGTCAGTACACTCCTCACTGCACTGAATGGCATAAACCACATTGTCCAGCTTGTTTCTTGGAGTCTTGTCTTTGGGATGAACCGGGTCCAGTTTTAGCCCCCTTATCTTGTTGGTGAAGTAATGTGAGTTAGGTATGTGGTAGGTGCACAGTTGTTTTAAACACAACAGACTACCAAGATAAAGTCCAAACTCTTCTCAGTGACTCAGCCACATATGAATCCTTGAAGAAAGATCCCACCAGCAGCTACAAAAAGAAGGTCTTCAGCTGCCTCCAACAGCTGGAAAAGGATAAAGCCATCGACAGACCCCTGTACCACTGGCTTTATCCAGGAGAAGGCATTCCTTGTATTTATGGTCTCCCCAAAATCCACAAAGAAGGAGCTCCACTCATTCAGTCACTTATAACATCGCCAAACACCCCCTCCCCCCCCCCCCCCCCCCCCCCCCCCCCCCCCCCCCCCG